AAAAAATCGATACAGGGCTTTAGAATATCGATACAGTATCGGGAAATGAAATATCGCGATATTTCAGTGTATCGATATTTTCTTACACCCCTATTGCTTACTAGGACATGTATGGATATGATAAACTACAAAAACATTTGAGTGTGTGCATTCTCGCCAGCGATGGAGGTGTTTATACTTGGTGCTTACATTTATTGTAGTATTCTCCATGTGGCAGAATACTTTATAGCTTGTGAAATGTTGTAGAATAGGAGAGCAAAAGCATGAGGAACTAACAAACGGAATGTTTCACGTCACACGCAGCCTTTGCACGAGGAGCTTGGTCACACGTGCAAAGTTGGACACATCTCTTGGATAATGGCGCTCTGAGTAAAAATATTTAATACAAAGTTTGGTTTTAAAGACCAAAGTTCCAGGAGAGAAGTGAGGGAGGAGAGGAGAGGCTTACTCACTGAGGAGGACTGCTGCTCCAGCTGACCCGCCCGGCTCTCATTGGATAAAATTGCTCTGGGGTTTGTTTGGTTTGTTGAAAGTAGCATCCTGCTTCGAGCAGACTGTGTGGCTGTAACAAGAACACAACAGAAAACAACCAGAGCCCCCCCCCACCCCATGGCCACATTCAAAGTTACGCAAACCTGTTGTGACGATGGTGAACTTTAAGCCCCGTGGTTTTGGCTGCCGTGAGTCCAAGACTTAATCCTGCCCGCTGTTTAGTTCAGTTGCCACCGACCCCGGTCACATGACTGAATCCTGCCCGCTGACTGATTTCTGTGGCAACTATTACGGGAATGGGGACTTATGCCTCTGTCTTCACGAGTGTATTTGTTGTCTTTTCGAGACAGTTTGAATACTCGATAATGTAAAATTGCATATCTTCAAAGCAACATGGATGATAATATCGTCTGTGATATACAGTATATCGCCCACCTCTACTCACTGTGTGCTGCTCTGGGTACCCTGGCTTCCTCCCACACACCAAAAACATGCATGTTAGGTTTGTTAGTAACTTTAAGTGTTCCTAGGTGTGAGTTAATGTTTATCTCCATGTGTCCCTGTGATGGACTTGTAAACTGTCCAGGGTGTCCCCCCTGCCTGACTGCTGGGAGTGTCAGGCAGGGGGGACACCCTGCCTGCCTGACCCTGCCTATTTTTAACACGTCAAGCGTGTTTAAAAATATGTTGATGAAGAATTCTTCATTAAATACAAATTCAAATAATTWATTTTGATAAATAAATACTATATGACAAAAAAAATCTTCATCTAAACAGTAACTGTATGGTTATACATTATCTGCAACACATTTGGTTTCTCACCTGTTCTGATGCAGGAATGCTTCAACTCTCCGTATGGGACCAACTACTTTTCCTCTTATGCTGAGAAGATCCCAGGAGAATCCACCCAGGTGCTGTCAGAGGCAGCAAAGGAGAGCAAGGTGTACCTGGTGGGAGGTAAGGAAGCATCTGTTGCTGTTGTGACCCATATGCAACAGTCCTTCAGGTTCAGTTAATCCAGAGTCGAGGCCCTGTCACACTGTAACGTTTTAAATAGTGTTGGGCATAGATTAAAAATTTTAATCGCGATTAATCTCATTTTTATTTTTAAAAATGATCACTACTATGGCTGAATGTGTACGTTTGTATGTTGCAATACATGTGTGACTCACTATGTACATTTTTTCTTCTGTTTTTCTTTTTAACTTCTTATTTATTGCTTATTTTATTCTTGCTTATTGTATTTTGTTCCTGACAACAGGGGCCTCATCTGTCTTTCATTCCTCATAATTCTCATTTGGAATGACAAAAAAGCAGCTGCGAAGCTGGAGGAAAGGATAGAGGAAAAAGTAACTTATTTCTAGCAGCAGAACAGGTTGGAAGATGGCTTTTTGGTGTTATTTATTGTTTTTTAAATCATCCTATAGGCTCTGACATGTTAGATAAATTTGAAAATGAAGGGGCGTGTCTTAGAGAGAGGCTTTTATACCAGAACACAGCCGCTGTGACGAAACCGTGGAGAAGACACGTCACAGTGGAGAGCCGTTAACCAATATGTAAATTACCCTGCAGTACCACTGCTCTACCCATATGAGCTGCAAAAACATGTTTTTAGACCAAATGTTATAGATTTGAACAAATACGCACAAAAACATTAAAATTAGCACAGAAACAGTACTATATAACATTTTAGACACATTCTAGACAGTTTATCAGATAAAAAAAGTTAATTTTTGGGTAAGTTACTCTTTAATGTGAGCGACTTCATGTTCAACAACAAAGGCTCTCATTGGATGAGACATGTCATGAAGGCTATCTAAAGCCAATAGTGATCAAGATCCTGCCTCCCCGCAACAACCACTGAGTCTGTGTGTGTCTGTGTGTATGCGTCTTCACCAGCAGCCCAGAGAACAGAGATCAGACGGAGAAATATAAACTGCGTTAACACGGTTTAAAAAATTATCGCTGTTAAGCGTCGGCTGCGTTAACGCGATAACACATTAACATGCCCAGCACTAGTTTTAAACAACTTATGCTGACTTGTGAAAATGTTATGACTGCTTTACCCATATCAGCTCTATATTTTATCTAATTATTAACATTACCGTAATTATAGGTCTAAAGTGACTTCCAGTAGATTTGTCTTTATTCCATCTTCAGCTTAGACATCTTAAGAGTTGGACGAATGTTTCATGCTGTCTAAAATATTAGTGTGAAGGCATTAGAGGCTTTTAGAGAAGGCTTTTAGAGAAAAGCTGCAAGAGATGCAACAAACAGATGAATTATTTTATTTAAAATTTGGCATTTTGTGTGTTATTGTAGATTTATGTTAATATGAAAAAGATTCCAATGCAATCTTTTCTCAAAATGGACAAAACACCTTTATTTCTATATCTTAATCATCTAGACCAATGATCCCCAATCATGTACATGTACCACCAGGGGTATGCAACCATATTACAGGGGGCACATGGAAAAATTTCCCAGATGTGTAAAAAACATAATTGAAAATAAAAAGGAAAAAAAAGTGTATAGGTCCTCTGGAC